TAATAAATAGAAGATAGATCCATATATAGATACATAGGAAGATGATAAAAATGGATATATAAAAATATGATAGAGAGAGAGAGAGAAGATATATAGATAATACATAGATAATAATGTTTACATACACTATAGTGCTTTACCCACTGAACCATCTCCCTAGCATGAGATAAGCTACCTTTGAGCTATCTTTATATTGGCCTCTGCCTTTTCTTGAAGCTATCCTTTACTCATGGAGAAGACAATGCACATGTCAATCTGTGTACCCATTGAAACACAGTTTTTATATGCCTTTGACATCTCTCATGTGCACTCCTTAGCAATGATGATACCTAAAGGCCTATATGGAAACCTGGTAGAAAACCCATGCTGGAAATGGGGGCAAGAGTTAGGAGGTTTTCAGCTACTTGGAAAGAAGTAGAAAAGAAAACGAGTGATGAAAATAGAAAATGCAAAACAGTAGTCCAGGACTAAAGAGACTAGTGTAACTGCCAAATTAAGAAAACACCAAAGGGATCTCGGACGCCTCCCGTCATTGCTTATAGACCGGAAGCCGCTGCCTTAGTCCTCTTTCCGTCTTGCAAGATGGTGAGTGAAAAGGCGGAGAAGCCTGATACAAAGGAAAAGAAGCCTGCGGCCAAGAAGGCTGGCGGTAATGCTACTGCCTCTGGTCCCCCGGCCGCTGGTGCAGCTAAAAAGGGTAAACCGAAGAGTAAAAAACTCAAGAAAGCCAAGCCCCACTGCAGCCGGAACCCTGTCCTGGTGAGAGGAATTGGCAGGTACTCCCGATCAGCTATGTATTCCAGAAAGGCCTTGTACAAAAGGAAATACTCAGCTGCCAAGACCAAGGTTGAAAAGAAGAAGAAAAAGGAGAAGGTCCTTGCTACTGTCACAAAAACAGTTGGTGGGGACAAGAACAGTGGCACCCGGGTGGTGAAGCTTCGAAAAATGCCTAGGTATTATCCTACGGAAGACGTGCCTCGGAAGCTGCTGAGCCACGGCAAAAAGCCCTTCAGTCAGCACGTGAGGAGGCTGCGCTCCAGCATCACTCCCGGGACTGTCCTGATCATCCTCACTGGGCGCCACAGGGGCAAGAGAGTGGTTTTCCTGAAGCAGCTGGGCAGTGGCTTGCTACTTGTGACTGGACCTCTGGCTATCAACAGAGTTCCTCTGCGCAGAACACACCAGAAGTTTGTTATCGCCACCTCTACAAAAGTTGATATCAGCGGGGTTAAAATCCCCAAACACCTGACTGACGCTTACTTCAAGAAGAAGCAGCTGCGCAAGCCCAGGCATCAGGAGGGTGAGATCTTCGACACAGAGAAGGAGAAATAGGAGATTACAGAGCAGCAAAAGGCTGATCAGAAAGCTGTGGACTCGCAGATTTTGCCAAAGATTAAAGCTGTTCCTCAGCTCCAGGGCTACCTGTGATCTCAGTTCTCCCTGACAAACGGGATATATCCTCACAAACTGGTGTTCTAAATTGCTTACAACCTCATTAAACAGATTCATATGTTTAAAAAAAAAAAGAAGATACCTGGAATACTCTTTTCCAATACCAATCTAAATGATATTTTTACATCCAGTCCTGATACACTAAATGGTATTCTATTTCTTTACAACTCAAGAAAGCATTGCTATGCTATAATTTAGTGCTATTTGGATATGGAGGGGATAAATTGATTAGGTCATAGACACTATAGTTTATTATTCCCATAAAATGCTAATGAAGTGCCCCTAATTAATTTTTCTAGAAATACTTGTTCATTTGTTGGAAAACTCCTATATGATTGCCTCTAGAATACAAAGGGCCACCTGAAGCTATCCCATCCCTAGAAGCAAACAAACATGGACGAAGGCCTAGGAGAAGCTCAGCCTCCTATCCAAGAGGCATCTGAGACAGGTTCCCTCCTTGCTAGACTAAGGGAGGAGCCTAGCTCATGTAACGTAGATCTGAAATTGGTAGACTTCTCCATCTCACACAAATGCAAACAGGACAGAAATGCAGAGAAAAGGTTATCCACTCAAAAAATGAAGAACACTTTCTATCAGAGTGCCTACCATCATCAACTGGTGAGAAATGATGATCTCAGATTGAGATTATTTGATGAGACAAATACGGTTTTGGTTTTGCTGCCTCCTCAAACAGCCTAGTAAGTAAAACTGGAAGCTCTGAAATTGAGCTGTCATCATGGGAGCATTGCTTGGGCAGGTCATGGCTCTCTTGCAAGCCTTGATTTTCTCTTCCAAGCCTTGATTTCCTTATTAAAGCAGCAATGAAGAAATTAATACCACTGCCAAAGAGCTCAACAATGCCAAAGCCCTTGATATAGTATGTTCAGTGCATATTCATCATAAATATTGTACTGCTCTGTGCTCAGCTCACCATGGAAGGAATGACAATATTAGATGGCTTACAAGGTGTCCCAAAGGAGGTCACATAACCCAGATCCTGAACCGCATGCTGGAGTTGATGAGGGGTGAGCTTTGTAGGAAATGGTACCTAACAGAGTAGGCAAGCAGAAGAAACAGCACAATTGAGGACTGCAGTAGGTGGAGCCAGACCTCAGAAAGGCTCCGTATACAAGAAAACGCAGGCTTTATAGGGCATGCAGTGATGAAAGAGGATGAGAAGAGAAACGGAGGACCTGACAGAACTGATGCAGCCAACTGTTGGACATCTTGGAAAGATCCCTAACTAGAACAAACAGCACTCGTCTCCAATTGATGGATCCAAGCTGACATCAAACCAGTCAATTCTCACCAGAAAAGAAAAAACTCAGACTCACAAATATTAGTGCCAGAAAAGAAAAGATCCCACATCATGCTGGTGCCTGTCTGTCACCAAATCACTCAGGTGAGTGAGACTTTGATCAAAAGTTATGGGTCATCCTGGGATACACAGTAAGTTCCAGGCCAGCTTGGGCTACATGAAAACCTGTCTCCAGAAAGAAACAAAAATTATCAGTGCCACAGAGATGGTTCAGTGGTTAAGAACACTGTCTGCTCTTGTAAATGCCTTGAGTTGGTCCCCAGCATCTATGTTAAGTGGCTTACAACCAGGATATTATGAGCTCCCCTTCAGCTCCAAGAAATCTGAGACCCTCTTTTGACCTCAGCAGGCACCTGAACATGTGTATATATATGTATACATACATACATACATACATACATACATACATACATAAAAATAAATAAAAATAAATCTTTTAGCTAGAACACCATTTCCCTCCTCTTTTTCTCTCTCCAACCCCGGATACAACCCCCACACATACACACACTTTCTCTTAAATGGATAGACTCTTTCTCTTTATTACCATTACATATAGAGAGATGCATAAATATATAATGTACCCTACAGAGTCCATTTTTGTTATTTGTGTGTATATGATTTCATGGCTAGCCACTTTGTATTGGAGAGCCAGTTAAGGAGCTCATATCTGAGAGAGGCTAATTCTGTCTTTCTCAACAGTCATTAGCAGTTTGTAGTTCTTTGTCTAAGGGTGGGAACCTGTGAGATTCCATCCTTCTTTACTAACATGTCTGTCGTCATTGGCATTGTTCGGTCTTGTTTAGGCAGCCACTTCTGGCAAACAGTCTCGTGCCACTCTTCCTGGTTTTCTGGCTACAATCTTTCCACCTCCTTGTCTTCAGCCTTGGGTGCAGAAGTTGTGTTATAGATATACCAAGTGGTGCTGGACTTCCCATGATCCACTGGTCACTGCATTAGATGCAGTTGTGATTTTCTATGACGGTTTCCACTTGCTTTTTTGATGAGGAGTGATAGCTACACTTAATAGTGAAAATAAGGATTGTTGCAGCCAACATGTAAGTGCCACCACTGCATCTTTTAAGGATATCTTGCCTCGTTGGTCAACATTGTTGTTCATAGTTATCACAGCTGGACAGGAAAATTCATAGCTTCCCTCACATGGCATCTAACAGGACTTTTGGTACTATGAAAGCTAGAGTACAAGAAAGAGGCTTTTTGGGTTAGCCTAGCTTAAATAACCTGAGTCCTGTGTACTAAATGTGTGGTATCTTCAGCAAGGGAGGCTTATCTTCAACCTCTGAGAGGCAACCAGGGGCTGGGGGCTGGTGAGCTAGTCAGTGGCAAAGAGCTTGCTGTTCAAGTGTGCACATAAGAATTCAGATCCAGAGGACCCACATAAATGCCAAGTAGGCCCTGCCCACCTGTAATTTCAGCCTGGGAAGACAGAGATGGAGGACTCTCAAGAGCAAACTGGCTACCAAGGCCAGCCAACATCACAGTTCTGGGTTTGATTGAGAGACCCTACCTCATTTAATAAGGTGGAAAAATAATCAAGGATGATTCCTCACGTCAGTCTTAGGGGGGCTTCCTCAAGCACACACGTTCATGTACACATACAGCCACATACTTGCATGGTTACATACATACACACATGCATAAAAAAAACACAAGAAAATGAAACAAAAACTAATAATAACTTTTTAAACTGGGCCAACTAGATGACTCAGCAGGTAAGAACACTTGCCTTTCCTCACAAACCTGACGACCTAAGTTCGGTCCTGGAACTCATAGTGGATGGAGGAAAAACAACTCCTGGTGGTTTTCCTTAGACCTCCAGATGAGCACCTTAGCATGAATGTATACACACCACCACCACCACCACCGTCACCACCACCACCACTGTCATCATCAGCATCATAATAACCAGATTAGCTAAAAGGTTTAGATAGTGAATACGTACATGAGCCTGCAAAGTTGCAAGAGGTGTGACAGAAAAGCTAAGCTATGGCAATGAGGTGCAGAAGCCCCAGATGATGCATTGGGAAGAATAAAAATATGACAAAAAAAAACTGAAAGCAAACAACTGAAAATACTCAGGGAAATCAAACAGGAAAAGAAGGTCACCTGCCCCTGTGTTCCTTCCTCTCTTTGAATCTTATTCTAGGGTCCTTTTGAGTGAGTACACTCTAAAAATAATGATCCATCATCTCTCCCTGTTTGCTGGTTTCAGAAGCTGGGAAGGGAAGTGTCCCGTGTTCTGTTGTGCTCCTACCCCCTGGAATTCGGGATTGCCCTCACATACTCCATCTCTGGTTGTTCCTATCTGGTAAGTGTTTCCTCTAGCAATTCCTAATACCCAAACTTAAGGACATATGTGGAAATCTACAACTGTCTGGAACTAATAACAATGGAATGTGTGATGTTCCCTTTACCTTGTGTTTTCTTTTGCCATAAGTTGGATTTAAAACAAGATGGGAAGAGTAATATATGAAACTATAAGTTTAAAAATTAAAAACACATATATAAAAGGTGAGTCTTTCCTTAATATTGTTCTCACTGCCCCCACACACTCAAATGAGACACATATATACATATGCACAATAAACACACACATACACAGAAAGCCACAAACACACATTCACTCACACTCAGTAAGCAGAGAGGTCGATGCTGGCGCTCAGCTTGCTGGCTTCCTTTTACACAGTCCAGAGTCAGCCCACAGTGTGATGCCATCCACAGTGGGGGTGGATCTTCCCTCAGCTAACCCTCTCTGAAAACATTAATTCACACACAAAAAAATATCCAGTAGTGTAGCTCCTCCATGGTTCTAAATCCCCTTGTTGTAAATTAGGATTAACCATTGTACCTAATTCCTCCAGCCCTCAAATTCAATTGTAAAGTAATTGGTGAGGAAGACTTGGAGGATCAGCAGCCTTGCTGCTTGAGGCAGATGATTTTTCTTGAGGCATAACATAGAAAGTTTCTTTGTGGGGTGGGTGTAGGGGTGGGGATAGGGAGTGTTACTGAAAGGGCAGAGAGTTCAGTGGCAAACAGGCAAGTAAGACCAAGACACTCAGTCCAGCTGAGATCATAGGAGATAATATTACTGTTGGGACAAAAAAAACTGTCAGAAACTAAACGGAGACAATCAGAGAAGACAGTCACCACTGTGGACTGTGCTGATAGCTGGTCATCCCTGTGTCTGAAAAAAAAAAAGTCTAAACATGTTCTTAACTCTCTGTGCACTAAGGAAACTAGAGACAGCCCTACTGTGCATCCCACCTTGGAGCATAAGAAGCCTCCAAAAAAAAAAAAAAAGGGTAAAGCGGAGTATATATAAACAGCCCAAACTTTACAAACATTTCTCAGAGCCTTTATTGACTGAAGATATGTTTTATTCTTCTAGTTCTGCCACAGCAAAGCACCATAGATTATGTAGCTTAAACAAGAAAATTTATTTTCTCACAGTTCTTGTTTAGAAGTTTAAAACCAAAGTGCTACAGGATTAGTTTCCTCTAAAGCCTGTCTCCTTGGCTTCCAGTGTCTTCACAAGGTCTTTTCTTTAGACAAGTCTGTGTCCTAGTATCTTCTGTACACACTGTCACATTGGACTACAGCCCAGCAAAATGACATTTTTATAATCCTGTTGACCCTTTAAAGACTTTATCCCCAAATAGTTTAACATTCCAAGATGCCGGTGGTTAGGATTTTGATGTATGTATTTTGTGGACTGTAATTTGGGCCACAACAAGATGCATTTAGTTACTACCTCTGTCTAATGTCTGGCTGAGCAATTATACTTAGCCCTGGGAGGTAGGCTAAGGCATAGGCCTTAAGAAAAAGAGCTAGGACTCAGAAAACAATGGAAATGTGTAGGTATACACGAGGCAAGCTCCAAGGAAAACAGACTCCGTATAATTAGTATAAACAAGTCTCCAGAGGGAAAGCAGTATCCACCACTCCCAGGGAAAGATGAGGGTCTATTTAAATCATGAGGGTCACCTGAGACCATTGAAAAACACAGGTGTTGACATTGCAATTCATTAACAATAACAAAATTGAAACCCACTGATTTAAATTATCTAACATTTATCTAAAATATCTAAGAATTATCTAAGATGTCCAGTTTCAAACAATAGCTGAAATACAAGGAACAAAAACAATGACATGTGTGATGGTTTCTATGAAAATAGTCCCCACAGAGTCACAGCGAGTGTCACTATTTGTGTGACCATGTTGCAGTAGGTGTAGCCTTGCTGGGAGACATGTGTCACTGGGGTGAAAGGGGTGAGCTTGAAGGTTTCAGATGCTCTAGTGAGGCCAGTGGCTGGCTGGCACACACACTCTCTCTCTCTCTCTCTCTCTCTCTCTCTCTCTCTCTCTCTCTCTCTCTTTCTCTCTCCCTGCTGCCTGCTGATCCTTGGCTCCTTCTCCAGCACCATGTGTCTGCGTGCATGCCACTATGTTTCCCATCATGATGACAATGGACTAAACCTCTGAACTGTATAAGCCAGCCCCAATTAAATGTTTTCCTTTATAAAGTTACCATGATCTCTTCACTACAGTAGAAACCCTAAGACAACATGTGACTTAAAAAGAATGCTCAGGAACTGTAATCTTGTAAGGAGAGAACAAAAGTGATGTTTCAAAAAGAAAGTGCTGCCTCATGAGTACCAACCCACCCTGGCACATCAAGTTGCAGCAAGACTAATGTGAATAAATAAAATAAAATAAAATAAAATAAAATAAAATAAATTGGTTTAAAGGGGAAAAAAAGTACCTGGGGTCAGTCCCAGTAGTTGACAGGTCCCTGAGAGGAAGTAAGGACTCAGTCATTGAAGGAGGAATGAGTCAGGCATGGCAGTCAGGAAAATCTTGCAGCCCTGAATGACTAGCCATCAAACTATACAGATTTCATAATACAAAAACAGACTCATGATTTTCCAAGAAATATAGATCATATATCATTTTGTCTCTGGACATGTGTTTGATTTTTTCATTACATGTCTGAGGTTGTAAGTTTAACTACAGTTAACAAGTACAGATAAGAACAGATTTTCATTTTACTGTCTGCCCCATAACCCTATTTCAAAGAATCTATAGAATATCTTCAGTAAAACAAGCATAGTTAATATATGACAACCTGTTTCTAGGCTGGCAGTATTTGTGATTTCGAAGTGCTAGACAAATAGAAAACTTCCTAGCCAGTCATTTTATGAATGGCAAATCCTGAGACCTAATTCCTTTTTCATATATCCTTTCATTATGTATACATGCTGTTATGCAGGGAAAGGGTCATTTTAACCAATCTAAGTGTATTACTGAGTTCCTTTTCTTATAGAGGCATACCCTGTATGACCCACCTATCTTATAAACTGCATTTTCAGAAAGCTTTGAGTATACTGTAGAAGAAGGTCTCTGTTCTGATGCCAATTCTCCTGGCCAGTCGGAGCTTGCCACTTACTTCTAGGTTTCTACTGATATGATTATTCTGTTTCTGAGTTTGCTTAGGGGTAGCTATACCAAGAACATCCTGGAGTCATGACCTATAAAGAGATTTCTAGCATCTTTGTGCTTATCACAATCTCCAGGACACAAAGAAGACTTCCAAATAGGGAAAAATAAGATTATTTCCCTGAAAGCAGAAGGGGTAGTATGGTTAGGACTGTCCTACAGAGACTCAGACATAATTTTCTCAGAAAAAGACATAAAGTGAATCATAATGCAGAAAGTCCTTCAAGAGTGCAAGAAGAATAGACCAAAACCGAAAGTGAGAGGCAATAGCAGCGTTTGGCTCAGCTTTGCAGGAACTCTGTCAAACAGCTCTGCTGGCTTCCTGACTCCCACTGTTTCCAATGGATATGGCTGTGCCAAGAAAGTCTTCAGAACGATGAAGGACACAAGTCTAAAGGGCAACAACAATGACTCATTAAATAAGATGATTGGACAAAAACAGAACTTAGATAACAGGAACTTGGGTCCTAGGGTTTAAGTGTGAGCTCACTGTATCAGAAATGTAGATAAACACACTGCCCAAAATGCACTGTCCAAAATGTATCTGTCCAAGATGTCAGAATTTATTCAATAGCAATAAATTTACAAAGAATGGTAATTTAATTAACAGCAATTTTCCAAATAGTCTCGAATAGTTTCAAATAGTTGTCAAACAGTTGTCAAATAGTTTCCTTGACATCCCACCAATGCAAACAAACACAAGTTCATTTGATCCAATCTTAACTACTAATTTTAATTCTCAGATCGTGCATTACATATCGTACTATGAATATGTATATTACACACACACACACACACACACACACACGTATGCTCAACACATAACTAAATTGCCTGGTGGTGCCAGACAGGTGGTGATGTTTATGTTCCCACTATGGTTCAGACTCTCCCAAAATGTATATTTTCTAATTTATTCATATGAAGTTTCAAACCAACAAAAACTAAAATAGTTATTAAATATTTCTGGATGCAAGCTTACCTAGAAAAACTAGAAAGAAAGAAAGAGAGAGAGAGAGAGAGAGAGAGAGAGAGAGAGAGAGAGAGAGAGAGAGAGAGAGAATTGATTACCTAAAAGTCAGAATAACTCTGGAAAGCTGGAAAGGGAAAGAACGGACAATCATTGGGAAATATATGAAGCTAGGATTAATCTTGGAGTGGTTGCATATATATTGAGCTCAAAAAGTACAAGAATTTTAAAAATATCAGAAAGGAGATTGATTTGGTGGTTAAAAGCACTGGCTGCTTTTTCAGAGGACCTAGGCTCAGGTTCAGTTCCCAACACCCACAGGGCAGCTCACAACAATCTGTAACTCTTGTTCTAGGGACCTACTTCTGGCCTCCCCAGGTATCAGGCATGCAAGTGGTACTCACACATGCAGGCAAAACAGCCACACACATATAAATATCAGAAACTATATCACAAGTCGTGCAGTAGAGATTTAAACACATGGTTCTCTGGATCGTATTCCATAAGTACCAGTGTGGCTTATATTCTTTTTAATTCTCCATTACTCACATGATTTGAAACACTGGATATCATCAGTAAGTGACTGCTTTTTCTTTTCCAGGCAGAAGCACAAGATGAAAGTTTAGAAAGTGTTACTGAAATAGTGGAAGGCAACTCCTGAAAGCTGAAGACATGAGCAACTTTCGTGGCTGCTAACACCTGATATAGGTGCCAATGATAGTCCCATGTAACAAGGCTACTGCACACCCGATACATTTTGTGCAAAAGGAAATTCACAAGAAGGTGAAAGTTACCCTTTGGTATTTAAGGAGTGTCTACACACATATATTCTAAGTTCAAGAGGGGAAAGCTTTTCCTATGTAAGTATGAGTCCATTGCAAGAAAGCACTTGCTAGCTAACCACTCTGAAGACCTGTCAACTCTCCCAAACAGATCATCTGCATCTGCGGTTGACCCAGAAAAACCAGAAAAACCACTTGTAACCCCTAGAATGCAGGCTCTGAGATTTGGAGCATAATGTATAATTCAGAGGAAAACTTTAGTTTCTTTCCTTGTGAGTGAAAAACACATTCCACATTCTGCATTCTTCTGCTTGAGCTAGCTTCTACCTCTACAAAGCAAGGCTCAAAAGGTCACCAATTTAGTGCCTTTATTGTCCCAAGGCTTTTCCTGTCCTCATTAAAGTTCCTTTCTGCCCTACATGTCTCTGCTGCCTTTTTCTCCCTCTTGTTTCCCTGCTTTCTACTTCTCATTGAGTTGATGTTCACTCCCGTTGGAAAGCAAATTGCTTTCCCCCATTGAGGAGTACTTCCCAGGAAACTGTTCTGTGTGCAGCTTACCTGTTCTTCTAATGTGGAACATGATGTCAGAGAAGTTTCCTCAGCAGTGCCAGCAATGCTAAGGAACAGTGATCCATGGATTTATACCCACTGTGGATTGTTTGGTTTTTTTCTTTCTCAGTCTCTCAAGACATTACAATGGTTGTTCTCCATGACTATTGGCCAAGATTACTTGATTCTACAAACTTTAGAGCTTAGCTCATTTCTGAACGTCTACTGTATGCAATGAAGTTACTAAACTCTGAACTATCAAAGATTAATGAGGCACCTCATGACGGTTGTTATTTTAGGAGCAGTTAAGAAATCACAACTATGAGCAACTCATATATTAAGAGGCATATAAAAATGGGAGTATCCCAGAAGAGAAAAATGCTCTTTCTGGTGTAAAGATGATACTTTGTGAACGCTCCAAACAGGAGATTAGAAGTTTGGGGACTTTAAAGGTGGGAGGACATTCAAATGGAAGAATTAGGGTGGCTATTCCTCTACAGAGGGGAGGAGGAAGGAGATGGAAAAGAATAGAAGAAAGGTGAAGAGGAGGAAGAAAAGGAGGAAAGAAGAGAGAAGAGTATGGAGAGGAGGATAAGAAGAAGAGGAGGACAAAAGAGCACGAGAGTTGAGAATATCTTACATGACTACAGTACATTTCAATTTTATTGCCTCTTGCTAATTTCTGACTCCAGGGTTCTCTCCCTACATCTTTCTCTCAAATTCATATCTTTTATTTTCTAAAAATGTATAATCTACTGAGTTCAGTTATACCAGATATACCTGAGAGTGGAGCTGACCACTAGAACCTGAGCAAGTTCCAGTGGCCCCCATCCCTTAATAAAACCGTCGTTCAGTCCACAAACAGATGTTGTATACCTGTATCTCATCAAGTAGGAGTGGAGCCTTGTGTGCCCTTCAGCCATGCATGCTAAAATGTGGGCAGGTTTGGCCTTGTGAGCATCTTAAGCAGATCAAGATAGATGTTGAGAGCTCACAAACACAGCACAAGGAATCTCGTGTCTAAAAGCCACTGTTTTCCAACAATCCTCCTGGTCTTCTGACTCTCATAGTCTTTCTGCCCTCCTATCCCATAGTGTTCCTTTGGGGGATTGGGAGTGCCTTACATATTCCATTGGGGGATGGGTAGTTCAGTCACTCATTCTCTATTCTGATTCTCTATGATAACATCCATCCACTGTAAAGCTTTTCTGATGATGAGTGAGACAACTTTAACTCATCATGATTTTATATAAATAGAGAAAAACATTTAAAAGAAACCATTAAAGAAAACTACAACTAATCAAAATGCAGAGTTGGGTCCAAGTCATAGTGGATACACCTACGAAACAACTCCCTAATGCTCAGGTAACATTGTGGAAGAGAGGGCAGAAAGATTGTAAGAGCCAGATCAGGAAGTTTGCTGTGAGATTCTGTTTCTTAATGATGTCAGAAGCTACACCCATAAAGTCTCACAAACACGACTGCCCAAACAGAAGCTGAACAAGGATGACACCAACGGACATGCCAAAGTGGACAAGAGAAAGACCAGGAGACCTCAGCCCTGCACAGAGAACTACAGGCAACTAAGAAATGCAGAGAATGAAGAGAAATAATCTTCCCCAGTGAAGAGCATGCCAATTGATTATCCAATACTGAATGGTCAGCCGTGAAAACATATATACAAATAACGGAGTACACACTGAGCAGGGTATATTTAGGAACACATACATATACCTATATACATATACATATATAACAATGACAAAAGAGACCATGAATTTGAAAGACAGCAAGAAGGTTTTGAGCAAGAAAAGGGAAAGGGAAATAAAAAATATTTTTTAAAAAAAAAGTAAAATAAAGAAATTAAGGTCAAAAAAATTGAAAGGCCAAAAACCTGAAAGGAAGGAGTGATTTCCAAGACAGTGAGAGATACAGAGCAGCGTTATCTACTGGTGATGTAAGAAACACCACACATATGTTTTTAAATTGTCCTAGTAGCCATACAAAGAGGGTAACTAGAAACATATGTGTTTAATTTTGACAACACAGTTAATATGTCAAAAACATCTAAATCATGCAGGTAAAAATTATTAGTGATATACTTTCTAATCTATGGAGTTATATGGTCTACAGATCATATGGAGTCTTTAGAATTGTGTATTTTACACGCAAGACACATGTCAACTTAAGGTAACCAAGTGACCAAAGCTCTATAGCCATGTATATCTCCTCATTAAGTCGGGTGGAACTAGAAGCTTCCATAGAATTCACAGAACCTGTACCCTACCTTCTCGTGTCCAAGAGTTCCTGCTTGCAGAGAGTGAGCAAGTTAGCAAAGACGTGCCCCCAGAGGCAAGCGGGGTGATGGGCCAAGAAGGCGAAGTGTCCAGTGAGAAAGTTGAGGCTGCCTGAAGGTCTGTACATGACAGAAGGCAGATTCTGGTTGAGATCACGTCTATGTCTCACTGTGTCATTGTCTCAGCTGGCTTTGACTTTCCATCCCTTCACAGTCAGCCACCAGCATTGACTCACAGTATATTATTGAGTACATAGATGAGCTCCAGAGGTGAGTACATATTATTTCCGCATGATTACCTGTTTTCCCTTTGACTCTACTCTAGGTTGAATCTGATCTTCATCTGTCCTCTGAGGCCACTTTTTTTCAGTTACAGCAGTCACCTTCTCATTGCAAAAGTCCAGCAACCAAATGCACAATCCTTGAGAGATTTAGGCCTCGGTTTTACATTTTTCCTGGAGCTCAGGTGCCTTGAGCCTCCCAGCCCAGAGAGGGTAGTGGCAGGGGCACAGAGTAGGACTCTGGTGATGGCTTTAAAGTCTGAGGATCTCAGGGCTTTCTGGCTCCCTGACCTGTACTGAAATGCTGATGATAAGTTCTAAAAAGTCCTAAAATCTTCTGAGGATAAAAGACTGCAGGCTTAGGTGATTATCACCTGTAGCCTAACAGCAGAGGATTAGACAAATAGCCTTTGTACTCTCTCAGTAGGAGCTGCTGCTGGGCCCTAATTTATGCTTGCTAGTCTGAGGTTGCAGGAAGAAAAGACACTTAGAGATGCGGTTACAGCATTTATTACTAAGTTGTCAAAAGTTTCCTATGAAAGCTATCTAAGGGGAAAATCGGAAAGGTCCTAAGTGGGGTTGGGGGGGGACTTCTGTCTGGGAAAAGGAAAAAACTCTATTCTATCTTCTAATGCTCTATTCTGTATCTAACTAACTTCTCTTTGTCCTCAGTACTTATGCATCTTTCAGAGTACATGGTCACATGTTACAAAGTTCATCACAAGTTCACACCAAAAATCAAATCATAAATTGAAATAGAAGTTTACAACACAGAATGTTTACATGTATATCCATTAGAAGTAATTATCTGGCTAAACATCCATCACCTGTCTAGCTCCACATGTTCACTGAAGGTTTAAAACTATAAGAAATTAGTGAAGTTTTGCATAGATAAATCCAGGCAATATTTTAACTTCTGTCCTAGCACCTATAATAAATCATGCATTCCCTTTTAGTGACCTTTGGTTAATTGTTTTACAACCTCTTGGAATGTGCTCTGAGCAGGAGAAAGTCTGGTTACTATCTAAGGGCAATTAACTGATGACACTCAGTAGACTGGCAGAGTTCTCGTTGCAGTTTTGACTATCAGAGAGTGACCTAATAGCAGTCCCATTACAAAAGAGCTTAATAATCATTGATATAATTTTAGGAATTCTTATAGGATCATCATTAAGACTTAAGAAGTCATCTATTTGTCTATATAGCATCACTACAAGACAGTACATCTTCGTGGATCTGCAGAGATCCAAAGGGGTGTGCTATTGCTTAGTGATTGTTATATTTGTTTAATAATAATAATAGGAAAAGCATATTAATAGCAGGAATCTTTCCTAAAATAAGTCCCTCACAGCCTTGCTGATGAGGACTCACTTGTCGCAGATTATATAATAATCCAAGGCAAGCATTTCAGGATGATCACCTGCTAATTATTAGCTTGTCCCATTATGGCTCCTGACACTCAAGGTTCTACAAGGGCATCCTTACCTTTCAGTCTGCTCCTTACCACCTAAGCTGCATTCTATTTTTGTTTGTTTGTTTGTTTGTTTGTCTGATCTCCTAACACTAAAATGGATCATCTCTCATCCCACCTTTCCTACAAGGTAAACTCTAGGGTAAAGGATATTCTATATTTTTTTCCATTTCTCAGTCCTAATACATAAACAGTGTCATTCATATTTATCCTCAACAGGATATATAGGTATTATAGAATTCTAATTCCTAGAGAATTAAAAATATTCAATGAATTATAGAATACATGGAATACTTGGTACTGGAAGCCTAAACAAATTGTCTGTAAGGAACACTTTAGTCAGCAGCCAAGCAAGTCACCTTAGCTTTTGAGACTCAATATAATCTGAGTAAGTTGGAACAGATGACCTTCTGTTTATTTATTCACTTTTTCCAGGTGCCAGATATAGAACTCTTACACTTTAGTGGGTTTAGTATTTACATGTTTAGTGGGTGGGGACCCATACCATAAATGATACTCAGCCTCATAGGCATGACTGTCAAGTTCGGGTTCTTTAATACCTATTATTTAGGACTAGATTACATAGAGCAGTAGCCTTTTGTCATGGTTGGTTTATTTGTTGATTGTTTGTTTGACAGTTTCATACATTTATATAATGAATTTTAGTTATCTTTCACCCCCACAACTTCTCTCATCTTCCTCTGGATCCCTTCTCAACAAGTCCACCTCCAACCTCCATCTCTTCTTTCGGCGTACTGCCCACTATGTTTATCCACCTCCAACCTCCATCTCTGCTTTTGGCGTACTGCCCACTATGTTT